TTCTACTAGATCTTGGTTAATGAGAACACTCCGAGCGACATTCGCCGTTTCATGGCGGATTCAGTATTGTCAAGTTTACAGCGACTTCACCACTGAATAAGCTAATTACTGCATTTTTAAGTAATTAATAGCATCGTTATCGCCTGTTATCGTTATCGTTTACTATCACTATCATTACCGCAAATATGATATTTGATGTCAGTCTTAGGTGTAGGGATATCTTATACCCGACAATAGGGAGTTCGTGAGTCCTAAATCCCACTGCCAATCAAAGAAAAAGGGTCTGATGGGGCTAATCTTTCAAAATGCTGAAGCTGAGGAGGCGGAGGAAGGGCAGTGCCAGGTAGCGCCGCTATTCCTGATCTATATCATCCTAAATAGCACCCCATTCCTAAAAGGCCGGTCGACCGGTGCGGCTTTTAACTAGGGAATAAAAACTGAATTGTACATCCGGCTAGCCTCGTAAGTCATTGTAAAAGCCAGGTCACATTCAAATTTCATTACAGTTCGGGGTGGAAGCTTAAAGCGTTGCGGATCCATCAAGGGGAGGGCCATTGCCGGAAGCTTAGTTTCTAACTTTTGCTGGAGAATAGGCGGATCTGGCACATTATCGCTTCGCTGAGATAATCGTGATACAATTCCTAGAGAAACCCCTGACGCGTCAGGCAAACATCCGTCGCTGATCGTGTGACGTCTTCATGGGCGGTGGTTAACGACATCGTATCCATCGATCTAAGGGGGCTCAATGTGCTCGAGGACAAGGACGAATGAAGGCGCCATAGCCCTCCGCCATTAAACCAGTACGATGGACTAGAGGATCATTGTGGGGGCTGGATTCAGGGGTCTGCACCAAACTAGTCGAACAGGGTGAATATGGTTTTCTGTGCCGAGGTGGTTTTGAGGTTGTTCCCTGATGGATACCGAAAAATTTCTAATTTGACCGTTCCACATTGACCTTTTGTTTTCGGCATTTATTTTTACAAAAAGTCGGCATAACTGGAACGCCACTTTCGTCGAAGCCACTGTTTGATGAGAGAAGAAAACAAGTCGCCAGAATAGGTCAATGTGAAACGTATCAATTATTTTTACGAGCATTCGAGCAAACACGCCAGCCAAGTACCTAGTTTTCGCTTCTTTTTTTCCTTCAGGTGGGAATTGTGTATTCTGTAAGTAACTCTCGTAACGGTGAACACTCATACCAAATGATGGGCTCTTTGTCGACACTTCACCTCGGTATCTTCAAATTACCATGCACCATACCCCAAATAACCGTTCAGGAGATATTCTTGAGAAAGCAAGGTGTGAACGGAAAAATTTGACTCAGTTTTTGTGGTTTTTCATCCATAGCGCGTATGTGGAATTGTGGCAAGGGGCGCACGGTCATACATGCGTGGTCCGGGGATAGAATCCCGAATAGCCTTCCATCCCTTCAGTGTCGTCTGTTTGGTATCATACAATTCTGAAAGGGAAACTTACTTGTTCGTAGGCTGGCCACCGCAAGTCATTGTATAGGCCATATAAGCATTCAAACCACCACCACGAATTTGAATGGATATCGAATACGAGGGTGCATCCCTCACACGGGATTGATCAACGTCAAAAATCTTATCCTCTATCGCCATCCCTCCACCGTAGGCTGTACTTCTGGTCCTTTTTTTTCTTAACTTCATGAGCTGATCAACTATTTCGTGCTGTAGCCGATCTGTTGAACCAGATCGCTGATTGCAATAGTGCCATCACCTTTTCTTCAACGAAGCCTTCGGAGCATGTACCACCATAGGGAGCAATCGTGTGATTCCTGACTCATTCGTTCGTTCGTTTTTAAGCATTTTCATTCCGTAGTTACCACCGATGTTTGGACCATATGAACGGCTTCAGTGCGTCGTCTATTCCCGAAAAAGGAAGACGTGTAGGGGAGAGATTCATTTCTGTTGATTCGCCCNAACCTCAGTCAGCCGTCGGCCAACGTGGCCATTTCAAAACGACGATGTTTAGATTTCAAGGTCCCGTAGAATTGCTGCCATTCCCGTACTTCTCGGCAGGGCCGTTGCCCATTCTGATCCCATATCGGACAGCCTGACGGTAGCGACAGGGGAAACCGATCCGTCTACTTCGTCACCAAAGGTCGTC